CAGGAGCCCAGGGACCCCGACAGTTGGGCACTGACATGCTCCCTCTGGGGAGGGGCTGATGCCTGAGCCCACTAGCATGTCTCAGCTATTCCCAGAGCTGGAGTGAGTAGACACAGTGACAGCTGAGATGTGAGCTTTCCAGTTGGTCACCTCCTGCCTGGGAATTTGGCAGGAAGGCAGGGTGAAGTCCATAACACGGGGAGAAATGCCAGAATAGGGTTTGATCGGTGCCATGCTGAGATGTGTGTGAGCCAGGGGTTGTTCAGCCCAGCCAGCCTGGCTTCTCCTTTTGCCCTCAGGCTCTTGCTGTTGGCACAGCAGGCTGCCTGTACACATCTCTAGGAGGTTTTCGAAGCCTAAAAGCATCCCTCCTCAAGTGACCCACCCCCGCAGGCTGACAGGGAGAGTCTCTGCGATGTGTGTGATGCAAAGGGAAGGTCTGAAGCTAGAGAAACAACCTAGCGGTCCAGCCCTGACTCTCTGCCTTTTCTCTGTGTGTGGCCAGGGATCTCTCTCTCCATCGCGTGGGTCTCTTTCCTGTGATAAACCGCAAAATCTCCTGTGGAGGATGGGGGCAGGCAGCTCTGCTCTCTGGCTGTAGTGGTGGCAGATGCAGCCCTGTATCGCAGGAGAGCTTATGAAAGTGGAAGTGACTCAAACCTGCAGTTGGAGCCCAAGTGGAAGGCAAGACCTTCCAAGGTGATGGCTGCCACGGCTCATCATGTCCTCTTCCTGTGCCGAGTGTGGGATGGCATCAAGGGGATCGTGAGGCTTTGTAAAGTGACCATGTTAGAGCTGCAGAGCAGCGAGGCATGAGCAATTGTTGCTTTCATGAGGGAGCTTCTGGTTTCCTTCCTCATGAGGATAAGCTCAAGGGCCTTTCCCATGGTACATAGGTCCTCAGCACTCCTAGAGCTGAGTGTGGGCTCAACAAAGGTTATTCAGCTGCTGGGACATGCTTTCTTTCCTGTCCATTTGAGTTGGGATTCCCTTTTATTTCTTAGGTGCCTGCTCTGTACTAGTTCCTGACTCACAACAGAATGCCACTGCAAAGTAGTCTTGCATCAGGGACCTTGCTATGAGCAAGTGCAATTCAGTTTTCGTGTTCCTGTGCTGTTCAGACCTTCTCTGTCCCTTTGTAACATGTCAGTATACCCCTCCTTGAATGTTTTGCTGCTTGTCTCACCCATACTGGGATTGCACTGGGAGGTCTGCACATTACTCACGGCTGCCTGATTCCACTTGCTGATTCACCCTGAACTGTTGGTTTTGGTTTTTTTTTTTTTTGTATTTCCTTTTTGTTTAGTGAATGAGAAGACTATCCTGCTAGCTCCCAATTTAGCTTTGGGGCCAGGGGCAAATGTTAAGGCCACAGCTGCAGAGAGGGATAAAAGGCTTGCTGGGGAAACTGCAAAAAAGCAAACAAAGGGGAAATTTTTAGCAGGGACAGCCTCTGAGAATGAGTTAATTTAAGGATAAACTGAAGCCAACTGAAATATCTAGGTAGCTTGACAAAATCTCCTTGCAGCCAAATGGCAAGGAATGTTTTGGCCATTTACGACAGCCCTTGCTGCACCAGGGCACTGCTGTTTTTTTCAGCTTTTCTCTGAAGAGTAGAAAGGTGGCTAGGACCACGTGGCTGTCTCTGAGGCAGGCAGCTGGCTAAGGGGGACCTGGCACAGTGCTGCTCACCTCTCCTGCCTTTGTCTCCTGTTCCCCATTCCTTGCTCTCTGTGTGGCTGCCCATCAGCTGACCTCTTCCCACTCTGGCTCCCGTTTGGGATGCCACCCAAACAGCTTCACTGCCCTCCCACATTCAGCAGCAAGTGTCCCAGCCGTGCTGGCTGCATGGCTGTGGGCTCCAGCCATCCTGCCTCTCCTTGCCGAGAAGCTCCACGGATGCAGTGCAGGTACACAGGGCTGCTCTGCAGCAAAGCTGGATGCAGTCACTGTCATGCTCCCTTCCTCAGTGGGAAGGAGACCTGATCTGTGCATGGAAATGAGCTGTTCCTCAGAGCACCGGGAATGCCAGCAGGTAGACTGCAGCAGGTGTGTTTGCTTGAGGGCTTCAGGTAACTTGCTAATATAAGCGAGTTGCTGTCAGGTATTTTATCTTTGTATGAAATGCTGCTTGATCACGGCTTTTAACCCATTATGAGCTGGTGAATTAAACATCTGGCCTGGGCTTTATTTGTGCCAGTTGTGCCGCAGCATCTCTTTGTGCGAGAGAGCTGGTGAGTGCTGAAACCTTGTACAGTGGCTTGTAATTGCAGGGTTGCCGGCCAGCAACCGCGCTGCAGAGTGGCTGTAAATCACTCTGGTTCCAGCCTCCACTCCTGCACCTCCTCCCTGGGAGAGAAGAATGGTGTGGGTCTGCGTGTGCGCACAGTGCCTGCAGGGAGAGAAGCGGGGGCAGAGAGGGATTGCGTTTGAGCCAGAATATCAGCACAGCAGTGTTGGGATTGCAGCTGATCACCGTCGCCATTTGCCTGTAGCGATCCCGCAGCGTTCAGTGCTGGGCAGGTGCCTGCCTGCCCTGAGGACTGAGCCACGCCGTGCCCAGAGCAAGCATCCCTGGAGACACTACCCCCATCTGGAGCAATCCCATTGATTGTTCCCTCCTCTGTTACCCAGACCAGGCGACCATGACTGAGAAGACCCAAGAACCTCATGTAGAGGAAGATGATGATGAGCTGGATGGGAAACTCAACTACAAACCTCCTCCCCAGAAAACGCTGCAGGAGCTGCAGGAGTTGGACAAGGATGATGAAAGCCTTGCCAAGTACAAGAAGTCCCTGCTGGGAGATGGACCTGTGGTAGTAGGTAGGCTGAGGCATGCTGACAGGAAGGGACTGGGAAGATGCATCACGACAGTGTGCTGTGGGGATGGGGCAAGGCGGCCTTTTAGAAGAGGGAGCTTGTTTGACCAGGCACGTACACTGCTTCTGCTGCAGGACTGGGTTTGGGCAAGTGCAAGTGGAGAGATGCATGTAAAGAAAGCAGGGAAGATGCTCTGAGCATTCGGTGTAAGGTTTCTGGGAAGTGCTGGCACTGGAAAGGGACTTGTGGTGGGAGGGGTGTGGGCCATGGAGTACTTCTGAGGCATTAGAAACACGAGGGGAACAGCCTATGTTGAAAGGGGGTCTTGCTGCTCAGAATGATCTTAAAAGGGAGCCTCTGGTAGTAGAAAGACCTTCTCCAGGTATTGGGAGGGAGGCTGGAGGGATCCGTGTTGGAGGACCTTGGCTAAATGTGTAGTCATGTTGTGCTAAGAGAAGCCTGACATTACTGGGTGTTTCATGAAGTGCAGTTTCTGTGTGGGAAAGCAACTCCATTTCTAACAGCGTCCCCCTGATTTTCCTACCTGCAGACCCAACAGCTCCCAATGTGGTGGTCACCCGACTCACCCTCGTATGTGACTGTGCTCCAGGACCAATCACTATGGACCTTACAGGTAGGCACATACTCTGTCCTTGGGCATGAAGAGGAAGAAGCAAAGGCCGTGTCATGCTTCAGATTGAAAGGGATTTTGTCCCTGGGATGCTACAGTGGGCTTTAGAGGAACTCTGGGGACATCTTTGCTTTGTTTCTTATTTTAAGATATACACATGGAAAAAATAAAAGGAGGTGTAACAGGAAAATGAGGAGTACTTTTTCCTTCATCTAGACTGCTCTAGAAGCTCCTGGTTTTCTCCTGCTTTCTCTTCTTACTTCCTTTCAGTGGGGCCTCAAGCACACAAGGGATGTGCATGCATTCGGGTAACAGGCTGTTCTGAAACTTCAGAATCGAGCAATACTGCAGTTCTGGCTCCTGGGGACATGGGGAGAGAAGTAGGCTTCACCTTATATGGGCTTTTCTGCAGAGAGAGGAAGCTGGGCCCGGAGGAGCAGAGAGGCTTCCTGTTCAGCTGAAACCACGCAGGGCCCCGGGAGCCCCAGCAGCCTCGCAAGCTGGGCAGGAGCCGCAAAACATGCTCTGTTCACCTGAGACAGAGCTGGGCATCGGTGCAACATGCACACGCTCCTGCAGATGTCCAGCAAGGAGTCTGTGCATAAGTATCTTTGGGTACATGTGCCCAGCCCTCTGTGTGTGTTTAGGCTGTGTCTTCATGGATCTAGACACAGACACCTGTGTACACCCAGGCATATGTGCTTCCACAGTGCAGTTGCTTACACAGACCTCTACATACTTGTTTTGCAGGCGTGCCGTCCCTCAAAGGGATGCTCACCTCCAACACTAATCCCAGCCCCATCCCACCATGTGCGGTCTCTTCTCACTGTGACACCTCTAGCTAACAGCTTGATCCTCTCCTTACAGGTGATCTTGAAGCACTCAAGAAAGAGACCTTCGTATTAAAGGAAGGAGTGGAATATAGAGTTAAGATCCACTTCAAAGTGAGTTGTTTTCCTTCCTCTTGCTTCTCATGAGATGCTGAGGCCAGTCAGCGGCAGTCTATCAGATAACTAGAGCCACGAAGCATGCCGGCCCAAATCTGGGCCCTTGTAAAGCTCCTCTAGCTTCAGATGTTCTACCCAACAAGGTGGCAGGTATTTCCAGGGAATTGCTTCTGCTCGCCCACCCCTTGGTAGAAGTTGCTTTCTGTCCATCTGTGCACAACAGGTGATTTGGAAGCCGAATGGGTAGTTTGGCTGAGTTTGGCTGGGATATTTAACCATCAGAAAATCTTTGATTCATACAAAGTGGACAACATACTTGTTGTCTACGTTGCTGGGCTTCATGTATGCATAAAAAAGATTCAATACTGTAGCATTTGACTGAAGATACCTGAGTTGTTCTGGGTCCCCATGTACCCTAATGGGCTCATTTCTTCCCTTCTCCTATTACCAGTGTGTCAGCCATTTCTTCTGTTTCTAGTTGAAAATGAAACTTGGCCACTCTGCAGTGTGGCATCCAGCACGTTTGCTGCAGACAAAGCTGGCTTTGGCAGTGAAGGCTAAAAGTGGTGGAGAATAGTTCTCCAGAAATGGACATTTAGTGTTTTGGGTTCTGTAGGAAAGATTTCCCTTCTCTGAGGCTCACTTACTGTCTCAGAGATGACTTTGTCCCTAGAGACACCTCCAGCTCTCCTTTGTGTTATGGAATATTTCCACCTATATCTGAGCCCTGTTGACAGGAGATGCCTGGAGCCAGCAAGTTATTCTAACTCCCTCTCTCAGTCCCAAGTCTGGTAAGAGCTGGCACCATGTGAATTCCCCCCTGAGATGTAAAAGGATAGGCCTGTTTTGTTTCCAGCTTGAGTAGTGCTATGGGGAGGCAGTGTATGCTGGAGTGGGACAGCAAGGGATTTATCCAAGCTATCCATGGGAGATTTCTGAAAAGATTATGAACAAAACTGTGTCCCTCTGTCTCTTGACGAGAAACTTGCCAGCTCCCCATGGAGCTTAGAGGGCAGCTGGGAGTGCTCAGCTAATCTTTCCTGCCTGTTTGTGCTGAAGGGATGGCTCTAGTCACCCATGTCCAGTTTTCACTTTGAAAATTATTAACTAGGGACTTCCTGCTTCACTCTTCTTTCTCGTCATCAGCCCATCCTGGGAAGTCAAAGTCAGGGAAAGAATGAGATAGAGCAGGAGATGCACAGATGATGCTGTAGGTCTCCTCCAGGTGTCTATAGAGAAGCCATATTAAGACTCTCCACAATGTATCCTGTGCCGAGCCTTTGAAAGCATTGGTGTAGGGAGCCAAGATGGATATGTCTCTAAGGAGAGAGAAAACCAGCAGAAACAGAACCAAAACCCTTCCCTTGACACTTACTTCTGGTCACTTCTTGCAGGTAAACAGGGACATTGTGTCGGGACTGAAATATGTGCAGCACACCTACCGGACAGGGGTGAAGGGTGAGTAAGATACCTTTGTGTCTTGCACAACAATGTTCCCTCTGCTTGGAGAAGTGTTCCTGCAACTCTGGGCTGGGACAGAGCCTCCCTTAGCCCCCAGGTACCTCCTGCACCGCCATGCAGGAGGTGAGACATCTCAGCAGAGTGTATTAGCATGTGCTCTGCATCACCTAGACCAGCTGTTTCCTGTGCCTGTGTGAACTCAATACGAGCCAGCTCTGGTATCTGTATAGCTACACCACTGTCTGCAGTAGCAGAATCCCCAGAGACACTTTAGACAGTGCTTGCCACAAACTTCCTCTCCATACAAAGCTCTTCGCCTGCACCACTGCTCCCTGTAGA